TAGTGCTGTGGTTTTTTGTTTTCCCATCTTGCTCAAAATAATTTTTTTTCTGTAATTAGTATATTTTTTCTCATATACTACATTATGAAACTTACTGCTATTTTCAAATTATAAATTTAGAAATTAATTTAGAAATATTGGTTCTTTAAGAGAATTCTCTAAACTCAATATATATATTTTGGGGAAACAGATTATAAAACTTATATAACATAATTATATGCTTGTCAATATCTACTGTTAATCTTTTCTATATTTTTCCAAGTATTTAATTCTGAAACAGATTTTGTACACACACACACACACACACACACATACACATACACATATATGGATATATATTTTGTTTTTGTTTTTACTATATAATACATGAACTCACCTAGTAGAGATAGACAAAGAGGGAAAATGAGAAATCACCCCTAAAAGTGGATGGTCACATTGCAATCCCTTACCCTCTATTCTCCTCTTGGGATTTTGGGCATGCATAAACACATGCTGGTGTGTTTCTTAAGTCACCAGTCCTGGGACACAAACCACACTGTTGGCCATGGGGGATCCAGTCACCCAAACCAACCTGCCACTGGCTGGCCTGCTTTTATATACTTTTCACTAAAGTTGAATAATGTAAAAGCTAATGGAACACTTTTTCAATGTACATTAGAAAATTAGCATATTTCCATTTCTATTTTTAAAGTCTTTTTTTTTTTTTGAGAGGTTTTGCTATAGGGCATGTGTGTTCACCAGAAAGACTGAGAGAGACAGAGAGATAGAAAGAGAGAAATCATCCCCAGGGGGGATGGCCATGCCACAATCCTTTCTCCTCCATTCTCCTCTCGGGATCTTGGGCATGCACACACATGTGCCCGGCATGAGTTTAAGCCACCGGGTCCAGGACCTGAACCACGGTCGACTACATAGGAGTTTGGCAACATAGCCATTACACTAACTACTGGTCCCAACATATTTCCATTTCATTAACTGCTGTAAAATGATTAATTTAAGTGATGATATTAAAAAGTCGATGGATTGTTCTAATTTATTAAATTTCCCTTGATTACCATTTACATTGACCAAAGTATCTACAATGCAGTTTTTTATTCTTAATAGATCCTCCCGGGATCTTGGGCATGCATGCAGATGTGCCCAGTGTGAGTCTAAGCCACCGGGTCCGGGACTCAAACCATGGTTGACTACATGGGAATCCAGCGACATAGCCATTACACTAACTGCTGGTCTGCAGCAGTGCATATTCTAGAAGTTAAGAATAGTGTTTTTCTTTAGTATCTCTTTAAATTAATCTTTTCCTTATTTATCAATTTCCAAGAGACCCTATGTTCCTTTAAAGTATGTGTGTGTGCATGTGTGTCTGTATTTTCATGAGAAAGAGAGAAAAAATAAGAGAAAGAAAAACAGGCACTCCCAGTTTCCCCTATGCCATCATCCTCTTCCAGCCTCAGCAGCCCAAATCAAAGGCATGCTCCTGGCATGATCAGGGAGGTTCCAGGATGCAATCCCAGAACTCTTCCCATTTGGTTGGCCCAAATGGCCACCACCTGGCCCCTCCCACAACTTTTAGAAGAAAATCTTTGAGAATTTCCCTTTGCCTAAACAATTTACATAACATTCTACATGCGTATTCTACTTTGAAATCTTAAGATAATTTAAAATATATTTATTTTGCTATAAGAAACCTAATAAAATAAAAATGTTACTATAAATTAAAAATAAAAAAATTCCAGAGGGTGTATGTGCTTGCCAGAGAATTACAAAGTGAGTAAGCTTCCCCCGACCCCCAGGTGGGATAGTCTTCCCCCAATCCCTTCTCCATTTCTCCATTTTGGAATTTTGGGCATGTATACTCATATGCTGGCAGTGTTTTTGTTTTTTGTTTGTTTGTTTTTAAGAGAGATTTTTGCTATAGGGTGTGTGTGCTTACCAGAAAGACAGAGATAGAGAGACAGAAAGTGAGAAATCACCCCCCAGGGGGATGGCCATACAACAATCCCTTCTCCTCCATTATCTTCTCATGATTTTGGGCAAGCACTCAAGTGCCCAATATGAGTTTTAAGCTGTTGGGTCAGGGATTTGGACTGCAGTTGGGCCATGTGGAAGTCCAGTTTCTTAATCGCTCTGTCATCAAGTGGCCCTGGCAGTGTTTTTTTTTGAGAGGTTATTGGTATAGGGCTTGTGTGCTCACCGGAGAGACAGAGAGACAGAAAGTGTGAAATCACCCCCGAGGAGGAATGACCACACCGCAGTCCCTTCTCCATTCTCCTTAGGGATCTTGGGCGTGCACATGCTCCTGGCGTGAGTTTAAGCCACTGGGTCTGGGACTTGAACCGTGGTCGACTACCTGGGAATCCAGTGGAAAAGCATTACATCAACTGCTGGTCCTACATGGGAATCCAGCGGAATAGCATTACATCAACTGCTGGTCCCACCTGGCAGTGTTTTTTAAGCAGCCAGCTCAGCTATGCACTTGGCCATGTGGGATCCATCCACCTTAACCACCAGACTTGATGGAAACATAACTTTATTTAACAAAATAAATGAATTGACAGAATATTTAAAATTATTTTATTGTTAGCTTTGAGGTCTACATTATGTAGAAAGAGATTATATATTCTTATAAATATGTCAGCCAGCAAAAGTTTTGAAATACCTCTTTATTTACCTTTAATTATTTTTTGGCTACATGTTGGTATTTATTTTCTGCTGGTGGTAGATTATATTTACCAATTATTCACTACTCTTTTAACTGTAATTTTTAAAGAAATATATCTACAAGACATATGTTCTTTATCTTCTTTATTATTTGGAGAAAATCAATGGTTTTACCATGTTGATATATGTGCCTCATGGGAAATAAATTAAAATACTATCAAATAATTTTAAAATCTTTTTTGTAATTCTTTATAAAATCATGGAAAAATATATGTGTGTTTACATTTTCATTACGACTGTTGATTTTAGAATTTTTTAGAAAAATTTGGGACCAGCAGTTAGCGTATTGGCTATGTCGCTAGACTCCCACGTAGTCAACCACGGTTCATGTCCCGGACCCGGTGGCTTAAAACTCATGCCGGGCGCGTGTGCGTGTGTGCCCAAAATCCCGAGAGGAGAATGGAGGAGAAGGGATTGTGGTGTGGCCATCCCCCCTGGGGGGGTGATTTCTCGCTTTCTGTCTCTCTGTCTCTCTCTGTTTGTCTGGTGAGCGCATGCGCCCTATAGCAAAAACCTCTCAAAAAAAGAAAAAAGAAAAATTGATGTATCTTGGGACCAGCAGATGGTGTAATTGTTACATCACTGGACTCCCATGTAGTCAACTGCAGTTCAAGTCATGGACATGGTAGTTTAAAACTCATACTGGGTGTCTGCACATGTGTGCCTAAAATCTTGAGAGGAGAATGGAGGAGAAGGGATTGGTGTGTGGCCATCTCCATTAGGGGTGATTTATCACTTTTTGCTTCACTGTCTCTCCAGCAAGCAAATACACCCTGCAGCAAAAATCTCTAAAAAAAATTGGGACCAGTAGATGACGTAATGGTTATGTTGCTAAACTCCCACATATTCGACTGTGAATTGAATCCTGGGCCCAACAGCTTAAAATCATTCCAGATTCGTGTGCATGCATGCCCAAGATCCTGAGAGGAGAATGGACAAGGGATTGTGATGTGGCCATCCTAGCTGGGAGGCGATTTCTCACTTTCTCTCTTTCTGTCTCTCTCTGTCCCTCTCAGTCTCTCTGGTGACCACACATGCCCTATAGCAAAAGTCTATAAAAAATGAAAAAATAATTTATATATCTCAAAATGAACAAAAGAAAAAACAAATTTGAAGTAGTAACAATATTAATTTGCATATTAATTATTAAGTTAAATTATTTTGACCATTTACAATGTTATGTAGATCATGAGATTTTTATTTTATTTACTACTGAATACATTGACAGTTATAAAGTTGCAGTAGGGCTCACTTTCAAATAAATATATCTTAACTTTAGGGTGGCTTTACACACTTAAAATAATGTTGAGATTGATGACCCATGATTTATTGGGCAATACTATGTGAGAGAAATTATGCCGTATGCACTTAATTACCACATTTAGGACTTTTAATTTTACCAATTTAGGGTTAAAAAAATTTGAAGCTCGGAGCTTGTGTATTTTAAATTTACATAGGAAATGGCAAGGTACAATTTTAATCTAGGCCAGAGAGCCTAAAAGTCCTTACTTTTGGGCACTACTGTGTTTTGTAGAGTGCTAGAGCTGACTCAAGGTAAGAACTCTAGAGAACAATTTGTTAAATATTCAGGGATTTTGCAGACTAGTTGTTAAATTGTTAGTAGCTTGAAATTAGTCATGGTAGAAATATTTATACTGTAGACATCAGCAAATACTGCAGATTGGAGCTTTTCCCATGCTCCTCACACTTTCTCCTACCAGACAGCTTAATACCAGAACACATTACTTTTACTATCAAAGTCTTGTCAATATTTACTCCTATATTAAGTTATGGCTAAATTGATTTCTTTTTTGTCGTCCACCAAGTAGAGATTGTCTCTGTCTTAGCATGGTTTAATTTAAGATTTTCAATATGATACTTGTGAAAAAGTGATACTATTTGGTAGACACTCTACTTCAAATTCCAAAGTTTGATAATTTCCCAAGTGAATATGCCATAGGATAAATTTTTGTGACACTGATTAGTGGCACTGAGCACTGCTCCCATTAGCCACACAAGTGTAAGAGTAATGAACTGATGTTCTACAGTTGACTAACTGCATTCTTGTCTTATACTATTTTTCAATTTCTCATTGTTTTATCCAGAAGTAACCCCACTGTAGTCAAGGAGCATCTGTACTGCTCAAAAATAAACTTGCTTTCATTAAGAAATTTATCATTAATTGTTTTTGAATGGAATTTTTCAAACTTTTGTCATAATATTGAAAATACCTTTCTTTACAGAAGACTGTGTGAAATAATGATCTCTCTTATTTTCAGTGATAGTAGAGAGTGGAGATATCATCTCTTTTGTGGCCTATATTAATTCTGGATACTGTAACATTTACAGAAGTATTATAGGACTTGTGAAACTACAATTAAATAGAGTGGTAAGTTTTAAACTCATGTATTCTCTTTAGTCAATCTACTCTAATGAAGAAAGAATGTCAAATATCTTTTAATGTACTAATTAGACATTTGTTTTCTTTTGTAAAATTTTTGTTTATGTTTTTGAGTTTTTTATTGGTTTGTAAGATGTTATAAGATCTGTTAGTTTTTAAGATACAATAATTTGTAAGGAATGACCAAAAAACACATTAAAAAGTGCTTAACATTCTGGGGACCAGCAGAAGGCATAATGGTTATGACACTGGACCTTTATGTAGTAGACCACAGTTCGAGTCCCAGACCCAGTAGCTTAAAACTTGTGTGTGTACTTGCATGCCCAAAGTGCTCCAGCATGAGAGATACAGAGAGACAGAAAGTGAGAAGGCACCCTCTCGGAGGGCTGGCCACACTGCAATCTCTTCTACTTCATTCTCCTCTTGGGACTTTGGGCATACCCGCACGTATGCCTAGTGCCACTGGGTCTGGGACTTGAACCACATTTGACTACATGGGAGTCCAGCAACATAACCATTACACCATCTGCTAGTCTCACAAAAATCTATGATAAAAACAAAAAGATGATTAACATTATTATTCATCAAATAGATAAATGCAAATTAAAACCATAGCAAGATATTACTACAGACATATTAGATTGGTTAATATGTACTTTACCATGTCGACCAAAATTCCACTTTAAATATTTACTTGAGAGAAATAAAAATAAAAATAGAAATACAAATATCTAACATGAATCCATATTTGCAAAAAGCTGGAAGTAACCCAAATATCTACCAACAGTTGAATAGACAGAAGCATTGTGATATAATCATACAATAGAAGGCCATGCAGCTGTCAAAAGGAACTAATGATACACACAGGAATATGGATATATCTCAAACTTCATTTGGGCAAAAATAACAAATGTAAACAATCCATTCTATCTTTATGAAGTTCTAGAAAATACAAAAGAGAAAAAGAACACTGAAAGAAAATTTAGAATTAATCCTTTTTAGTTGGTCAGTCATCAATAGAATTCTATTAAATATGAAAACTGACTTGAATTTGCTGTATACATCATATTCAGTGTAAAGATTTCTCATTTATATAAGTGGGGAAAATTCAAGTTATATTGGCTTTCATCCCAAAGTACTTAGTAAAGGCTTCTACCCATTCTGAGTCTCTATCACCCTCCAAGCCTGAGGATTATATTTTGTTCTTATATCTTACTGCTTACTAACTCATCCATTTTCAAAACTGATGAGATCTCGCAGTAAAGTCCCCTAGGCCCTTTGCCATAAAGTGCCAAATTTGGACATAAATTGCTACTTCTCTGAGTCAAACTCACTTTCCATATATTTTGTTTGTATTTAAACAGGAAAGGCAGAGGAGAATTTCTTCTCTTGAGCTAATTCCATCAGCACTGGCCTTGGCACTTTCTGCTTATTTTCTTTCTTTCTTAGTTCAAAGTGAGTGCCTCGTAGCTGGTGCTGTAGTGAACAATCGTAGTTCACGAAACAGGTTAAGCTAAGCTGTTTACAGATTGGTATCCGAGGACTTTAAAAAATAAAATTAGTTTTACATTTCCTGAACATAATTATAAATAATATCTTTTAAATGACTGATCCCTGAGGGCGAGTGCTTTTAATTATCTTATTTATGCTTACATTTTCTATGAATTTGCTGTTATTCTAATTTAATTGAAGTAAATGTTTTCTCTGATTTGAATAAAATTACTAGCTTATTTGAAATACCATACAGTAAAATGATTTATGAACAAGTGAGTTTTTGATACTACTACTACTTTACTACATAAAAATAGTTCTACTAAAATGCATTACATTGTATCTATTTTTGTTTATTTATATTTTTTTACAGAAAAAAATTCAAAGACTTGTATGTATGGGTAAACTTCAGGAGAAGGAGTCCTTTGGTGAGATTAGCGTTCTTCTTCAAGTTCCTTTCACATGCACAATTATTACTGGAAATGAGGTTGAAATGGCCATCATTGAAGATAAAGACCTATTTGGTAAATACATATATATTTTTTTAACTGTTACAGCATCCTATTGGATACATTTTTAAAAATATTAGACATATCCCACAAATGAAGTGTGTGTGTGTGTGTGTGTATGCTGTTTACAGAGACACCATATGTATCTATGTATCATCTATCTATCTATCTTTAACATCATATTCTGATTTAATTATGCTACTTTTAGATTATATTAGCAACATTTTAAAACACTGATTTGAAAGTACTAGAATTTCTCTGTCAATTTTTGTTACCATTAGTAGCAATGTTCCCTTCTTTTCTGGGACATTGTTTAGGTTTCAGCTCTAAGGTTATATCTAAGGTTATAGCTTTTATGTTTTGGTTAAGGTCGAGTATGTACTATCCCCAATATACAATCTAGCTTTACCACATAAAAAAAAAAACTATGACTTGCAGAATTTAAGCTTTTATCTGAAATTTAAAGCACCAGTAATAGTAAAAGAAGGATTGTGCCAGTTGATGCTGTGTCAGTTGAAGTAGCCAGATCTCGTGGAGCTGAATGCACAGTTGCAGTTTCAGACCCAGTCGGGGGAGGGGGCAACAGAAGCACACAGGGCAGGTATTTGTGCATGCTCAAAAACCTAAGAGGAAAATGGAGGAGAAAAGGATTGCAGCATGACCATCTCTCTCCTGGAGGGTGCTCTCTCTCTCTCTCCACTCACTCTCTCTGACAAGCAAGTGCTCCATGTTGAAAAAAGAAAAAAAAAAAGGAAAGAAAGAAAAATGGAAAGATCATGTAGTCACTCATGCTCAGTTCTCCAAATATTATGAATACTAAAGTTGAATATATGATTACATATAAAGGAGAAATGAAAAGGGACTAATAAGACATAAAATCACAGGAAATTAAAGAAAACTTAATTTATATGTAATAAAACTGAGAATGTCAAACATCAGATAAAGGATTAAAGAGGAGAAAGTTGTAGAAATTGAAATGGATGAGAAATTTGTATAAATAAACCAAATTGAAAAACTTTTCATGATTATCCATACATTATTTGACTAAATCACCATATCCCAAATTTCAAGTATTCTTTTTTATTTCTATCTCTAAATAAATATATAACCTATATGTACTTAATTCTCACTCAATGGAAAAAAAAACTTTCATATTGGTGTGTTTACTTTTAAAAAGTGATAAATTTGAAATTCATTTGTTAATTAAACATGAATAGTTATTTTACTGAAAGAATTACCTTCACATATGAAGAACAAAGATTTTTAACAAGTATTGTTGCATTGTTTTATTCTGTCTCCATCTAATGCACTCCTTTTATCATCTGTAGATGAATCCATTTATATTAAACAATATTGAGCAAGATTTAAGCAAAAGCAAAATAAACCTTAAAAATACCACACTGAGGGCCAGCCGTCGTGTGGCAGTTGAGATGTGTGGTTGTTACATGGTCAGCTGAAAAGTGTGAGTCTCAGACCCAGTGGCTCAGAAAACATACTGTCACGTGTGCATATGTGTCCCCAAAATCCTGAGGCGGGGTTAAGGTGTGGCTGTATCCTCTGGGGAGTACTTTCTCACTTTATGTCTCTTTCTTTATTTTTCTCTTTCTCCCTCTGGTGAGCACACATGTAGGAAATTATTTAAAAAGGAAAAAAAACATATCAAACTGAAGACCAATGGATGTGCTAAATTAGAAAAATAAGCATGAGGAAAACCCATATATCATCTTGTTATCAAGACTTATTGCAATCAATTATATACATTGATGTTAAGAATAATTCTTGTAATTTGAGGTAGTCCACTTAAAAATAAATGAAACCAGGGACCTGCAGTTAGCGTAATGGCTATGTCGCTGGACTCCCACATAGTCGACTATGGTTCGAGTCCTGGACCCGGTGGCTTAAACTTATGCTGGGTGAGTGTGTGTGAGTGCCCAAGATCCTGAGAGGAGAATGGAGGAGAAGGGATTGCAGCATGGCCATCCCCCCTGGGGGGTGATTTCTCGCTTTCTATCTCTCTGTCTCTCTCTGTCTGGCAAGCGCATGCACCCTATAGCAAAAAAAAAAAAAAAAAAAAACCCCCCCAAAAAAAAAAATTAAAAAAAAAAAAAACCTCTCCAAAAAAATAAAAATAAAAAAATAAATGAAACCATTAAGTTACAACGAAATCCTCAGTTACATGTTGGTTATGTGGCCTTCCTGTTCTCATCTACCATGGAATGTTAAATATATTAATTGTCTTAGAATTATAAATACAAATGGAAAGACTCAAAAGGCCTATCTTTACCCTAATATGCAAACCACACTCTCTAGTTGCTCCAACAAAAATGGCATAAAGATCAAATTTCCCTTAAATGAGTCAAGTATATTTAATAAATACAGAAAGGAAGCAATGCATTAATTGTTTTTATTTCTAGGGGTTAGTAGAATAGAATCTAGGAAAAATAAAAGGCTGCATAAATGTTAAATGCTCTTTCTGAAGAATTATGTGTACACCTATCTTCACACAGCCATGAAGGAAGACATATGGAATAACTGGTTTTGTTTTTTTTTTAAAGGATCTGAAGAGTAATTTTTTTGTTGTTCATTTAAGTTAACTTTTTGCAGATAGGTATTATTTTCTTAATTATGGGCATGCTTCTAAGACATTATCTTGAGCATCTAAATAAAAATGAGAACAGTTATTAAGATAAGCAATTATAAGTTTACTCTCATCCCATATAATGCTACTTAGTATACTTTATCTGATTATTATTTTTATAAGGCTAATATATTTTTGTCCATATGCACAACTTGTACTTCAAATTATTTAATGATAATACAAACCAACATAATCATTTATATCTGACATCGTCTTCCAACTGTTAAAATTAATGTACAGTACTATTTTTTGAAATAAAAAGTATTGCTTTTGAATAAAAATAATACATATTTTAAGTAAATCTATGTGAATGTATGTATATTTGTGTGTGTGTGTGTGTGTGTGTGTGTGTGTGTATTTTACATATTCAACTACGCATGATTGAAAAATAAATAATAGCTAGTGGATTTAACATGTCTTTCTCAAAAAGGAAGTTCCAAATCCAAAGTGACATTAATACAACTATTTAAAATGTTTTTTGTTTTTAAACAGGGAAAATGTTCAAAGGCTTATTTCTCATAATTCATTCTCTTAATACAAGACATAGGATATCAGATCTGCTAGTCATTTCAGGAACGAATATATTCTTGTGAAGACCCTCTCAGCACATCTGTATATCTCCTTAAGCTAGGTTTCTCTTTGTTAATAAAAGTCATCAAATCAGTTTAAACTATTGAACAATTTGCCACAGGAAATTTACTTCCTTCTCCTCTTTTCTTTTTCATTTTTGCTTTGCAATAGAAGGTTTGTCATAAAAATGCATTTTAAAATTAAAAATAAGATGTGATATTTTATATATTTATTTTTTTAGAGAGGTTTTTGCTATAGGTGCATGTGCTTACAGGAGAAACAGAGAAAGAGGAAGAGAGATGGGAAGTGAGAAATCAATCCCCCCCCCTCGGGGGAATGATCACTTCATAATCCATTTTTCTCCAGTCTGCTTGTGGGATTTTAAGCGTACATGCCCATGCATCTGGTGTGAGTTTTAGCCACTGGGTCTGGTACGTCTGGTGTGAGTTTTAGCCACTGTGTCTGGTACTTGAACCGTGTTCAACTACGTCAGAGTCCAGCAACATAATCTTTATGCCATCTGCTGGTCCTGTGACACTTATTTTGAAATAATATTTCTTACTTATAAGATATAAGAGTTAGTTTGAGTAATATTTTTATCTTTTTTTTTTTGGACAAAGCTTTAAGCAAGAGAAAATTTGTATATTATGTAACTGTTTCTCACCATAGTTCAAGGTTCAAAGGTTCTATGTTTGCATTGCCATTCCATGTTTAAAAGTAAGGTCCACTCATAAGTGGTTTTATTTCCTTTGGATGATAAATCTCACACACTTCTGTCACATTCATGTTAAAAAGCTTAAATACAGTAACTGCTTTCCTATCATAAAAGTATTTTAAAACTAATATCACTTTGGGTTAGTAATACATCTATTAAAATATAAGTACAAGTAATTACTGCATACCTAATAAATATCTTGTTTGTTGAATAAGTGCTTCTTACAGGAAGCATACACAAAGGAATTTTATGTCTCCTAAATTCTTTGATATTTGTTCAATTGGATAAGTTCTTTCCCTGCCCTTTAAAAACTCAACATAATGATTTTATTGTCATTCTTAAATCATAAAATGATCGATAATTAATTTTAGTTGCTGAATATTTTTTTTGAGAGTTTTTTTTTTTTTCTATAGGGCATGTGTGCTTGCCAGAAAGACAGAGAGAGACAGAGAAACAGAAAGCAAGAAATCCGCCCCCACCCCAGGGGGGATGGCCACATCGCAATCCCTTCTCTGTTCTCTCGGGATCTTTGGCACACATGCACACATGCCTGGTGTGAGGTTGCCGAATATTCTTACTTGAGATATTAACAAAGCCAGCCAAATAAAATGCAAGTATCTAAACTTGATTTACAGTTGATGTGTCTATTACATACTTGTCTTCGTTTTCTACTGCTACATACCAAATGAGCATAAATTTAGCCACTTGAAACACTTCACATATATTATCAAACAGTTTTGTAGGTCACATGTTTGGGCAGGTTCAGCTGGTGTCTATTCTTAGGGTCTCAGGCAACTGAAATCAAAGTGTTGGTCAGACAGGGTTCTAACATGTACCCTCCAGGGAAAAACCCACTTCTAAGCTTGTTCAAGCTGGCACAGTTGACTTCCTTGTGGCTGTAGAACAAAGGTTCCTATGCTCTTGTTGGCTGTCACCTGAAGGGAGGCATGTCATTCTCTTCCACTAGAAGCTTCTCCATCCATATGACCTTCTTCATTTATATTTTGAATATTCCTGACTTTCTCTTCTCTCTTAGTTAAAGGAATCTCTTTCTTTTAAATTACTCATGTGATTGAGCTAATCCTACCCAAA